CGTCGGATTTCCCATTCTTGTGTTAAAACAACTATACTATCATCATCGTCATAACACATCACCAAACTAAACGGAAACGGTACTACATATGCTTTACCAAAATACGTTTTTATCTTGCTGTTCAAAAATTCTGGTGAATAATACATATCTGGTCCAACAAAATTATTTACTATTTTTATTCTTAATTTTTCCAATGAAATAGGTAAAGGTGCCAAAGAAGTTGTATAATGTTTTAACCCTATATGCTTCATAATCTTTAGGTTTTCTACATGTCGTTCTGCAACACTTCCTGAAAAATTTAACAAGTATGGAGGTCGATGAGGGGACTGTGAATAAGCTATAACTTTTCCTGATGGAACTTTAAGTTGATCTGATGTCAATATCAATGCACTCCATGTTTCTTGCCATACTCGACGTTTAATATGTTTAGTAAAATCTAATTTTGGTGAATATATATTAAGACTAAAATCTAATCGTTTTTTCGTATTTTTAATAAACTTCTTGTATTGATCTGTCTGTTTAAACAAATTCCACACCACCATCAGTCCAATGAATAAATTAATTATCACAAGTATCATAGAAACTATATGAGATTGTCCAACTTTTAATATTACAAATATTCCCAAAATTGCTGCAATCACATAACTTGTTCGAGACCAGTATTCACTAATATTCTGTGAGGGGTGGAGGAATGGTTCACTTCTCCAATGTACGAATAATAATAAGAGCATTAAAAAAATTTGTAATGTTTGACGAATTAATAATGGAACGTTGGTTGGTGAAGATGGATCGTTGGTTTGTGATGAATGGAGGAATAAGCAATTCTTGTCAGAGATTGTAGAAATTATCAAGATACTAATAAATTTATTTGCCATTATAAATGTTTTATAGTTTGCCCATTTTTCATTATATCCTATATAATTAAATAATTATTAATATTATTAATAATTTGATTAATTGATTTAAAAAAAAACTCTAATAATATAAATAATATAAATAATCTAATCTAAATAATATAAATAAGATAAATAATTTTATAAATATATTCAATTTTACTCACCATTATACAAGAAGTTATAAGGGCATGTATCATTCTCCAACCTTTTTGAATACTCTTTAATTTCATCTGTAATCTTTTCTCCTGCCTCATTATATTTATCTATCCTAGGATAATTTCTATCCACCA